GAAAAGTAATGTCTCAACACAAGTGTAATGTGATGATTTGCTGTGGATAAGGGCAGAGCTCTTTAGACCTTAGTTTTGGCAGATTAAAATAACAAGCTAATGAAATTAACATTTAATTCTTACATTATCCCTAGAGAAAGACTCATTTTTGTTTTAGTTTATAACTTCATTACAAGTTGAGGTTTGGCTTGTTAGTGGAATCATGTGCCTTGTAAAGGGTCCAAGTGCCATTTGATTAAGCATTTAACATCACTCCTGGGGCAAACAATCTCAAAGAGCCATTGGGCCTGGAAGGCATTACGCATCCTAATTTTTCTGCCTTGTACCTGTCACCACCATCACACACACACACACACACACACACACACACAATACATACTGTCCTTCTTTCTCTCTCCCTCTCCCTTCCCCTCACCTCCCCTAAGGGCCTTTTTGTGTCAAAAAGATAGTTAAGAGATTTGAACTTAGTGAAAATGAAAATTAGATTTAAATTACTAAGCTAATTTTCATTTCCTATTTTAATCAAAATTTACATACTTGCTTCCAAAAATAGAAACTAGTCAAGGCAGCCCTATCTGCCATGACCAGTTTATATGTCTTTTCTTTCCTTCTCTTTCATCCTTCTTTCCTTTCTTCCTTTTTTCCTTTCATTTTTCAATGTTGAGTCCAGTTCAAAGATTGAGAGTTGGGATGTGGTTCAGTGATACCATGCCAGCCTAATATAAATGTATCCCTGTGTTTGATCCCCAGCACTAGTGTGTGTGTGTGTGTGTGTGTGTGTGTGTGTGTGTGTGTGTTTCATTCCTAAGAACAACCATATGTGTGTCTGTAAAGAAGAAATCAGGAAAATCTTTTAGAACAACTGATACTTCTTTTACAAGTAAAAAGACAATTGTTTGTGCAGGTGTAAATGTGTTCTCATTCATAGCCTCTTCCTCCCTCCTCAGAAAATACAGTTCTACATATATAATCACTATGCAAATCTAGTCAGCATATTTACACCAGAAACAAATGTAGCCAATTATAGAAAAAATGGGTGGAGATGTTTTAAGCATTCATTAAATCTCTCAGGACCAGAGGTTGAATTAAACTTCATAAGGCTGCTATAAAAATAACTATTTTAGAATTTAAATATGATTTTGTAATTGGATGCATTTACTGCATTCAATTTTTCCACCAAAATTCAGCCTCCAAAAATATTCCAAGTGCATTTAGGGACCTGTGACTATGCCCACCTTACAAGCATTTAAAAACTAGGGCCTTAACCTGTCTTATTCCTACAGTGGCTTTTGCATTTCCTAAAAAAAATCTGGCTCAAACCTAGCTATATCCTAGCTACTCAGGAAGCTGAGATCTGAGGATCCTCGTTCGAAGCCAGACTAGACAGGAAGGTCTATGAGACTCTTATCTCCAGTTAACCACCAAAAAGCTGGTGGTGGCACTCAAGTGGTAGAGCACTCTCCTTGAGCAAAAGAAATTCAGGAACAGCACCCAAGCCCTGAGTTCAGGCTCCAGGACTCACACACACACACACACGCACGCACGCACGCACGCACTCAAAAAGGATCTGTGAAGGGGGTAAGGTATAGGTTAATGGGAAAGGAAAGAGCCTAGCATCACAGTGGAAGGCCCCTAGATTCATGTTGTCAATCCTCAACACAAAGGAAAAGGGGGAAGAGGGGAAGCTGTTGCATGGTTTGCTCACTTGAATAAATATCAGGCTGTTTTATTATGAGTTCTAGCCCCTATAAGTGGCTGTGGGAATGGTCCTTCCCACTGTTGGGATCATCTGCATGATCCCAAATATGAGGCCAGGTTTCTGTAACACACTTTCCCATCTTTAACAACGTATAAGAAAGAATTAAAGTAATATAATATAGACATTAAAACATGATTTTAGCCAGTGCCAGTGGCTCATACCTACACAGAGGCTGAGATCTGAGGATTGCAGTTTGAAGCCCAAGCAGGAAAGTCCATGAGACTCCTTATGTCCAGTTAAATGTCAAAAGCCAGAAGTGGACCTGTGGTTCAAGTGGTAGAGTGCTAACCTTGGCCAAAAGAGCTCAGGGATGCAGCCCAGTCCCTAAGTTCAAGCCCCAGTACCAGCAGACACACACACACACATACACACACACTCATTTTAAATCTATCTAGGAGACTGAGGTAGGAGGGGTGTAAGTACAGGCCAGTCAGAAATAATACAGGAAAAGAAAAGGAAGGGAAAAGAGTGAAGGGGAGAGGAGGACTGGAAAGGGAATAGGGTCAAACTGGCAAGAAGACTGACAAGCAGGCCAGGCACCGGTGGCTCACGCCGTAATCCTAGCTACTCAGAAGGCTGAGATCTGAGGATCATGGTTCAAAGCCAGCCGGGCAGGAAAAACTTGTGAGACTCCTATCTCCAATAAACCACCAGAAGACTGGAAGTGGCGCTATAGCTCAAGTGGTAGAGCTCTCGCCTTGAGCTTGAAGAGCTGAGGGACAGCGCCCAGGCCCACCGTTCAAGCCCCATGACCAACAACAACAACAAAAAAGACTGACAAGCAGAGTTAGGAAAAATAAGGCCAGTGAACTCTATTCACTTCATGATACCCAGAAAACGCTACTCATTTCATCATAAGCAGTGGGTTTGCCTCTGATACCTCATTTTCTACTAGAAGCAAAATAGAAAGCAGTTAACAGTTTACTGCCTATGATATATTATGGTTTGTTTAGACATAGTTCTTTACCTGGCACTAGGGGACATAGTAAGAGTTTGAATCCTAGAAATAGAACTGTCCTCTTGGTTGAGGTCTGGGAAGAAGCAGTATATATGAAGTTTGCTTGGGTGGTAGGACAAATTGCTCATGGAGTTAATTCAAGATTAGTTAATTCAAGTAGACAAGTTTAGATAGAATGTCTGTAAAGCAGGAGAACACTGAAAACTAAGTTCAAGAATCTTTATAAGAACTGAAACCTTCAGACACTAAAAGAAAACAATTGCAAGAGGTTTGAGAAAATCATATTGTCTGCTTTATGTGTAAAGCATAGATAGATAATAAACTCCCAGAAGTAAAGCCATCCCCGACATAATGCATATTACCGTACCCAGCAGTGGCTTGGAGAGTCACTGAACTAAGTTCCTCTCACCAATGGGCTTGATTACTCATTAATTTACTTAATAGTTAACACTTTCTCCATGGTCATCTGTGGAGCCCCAGACAGTCTTACTCATTTTGTGGTATCACACTGAGAAGTGCTGCTTACTCCTAAGGAGAGGTGAGAGTTGGCAAGCTTAGAGGGATTAGTAAGTGCCCTCTTTGGTTGGTTCCAGCTTTAATAGAAGATTCCGTAACTTATCTTTAGATGAGAGGAAAAGGACAAGGGCTCAGTCCCAACACCCACACCATCCGTGGACAGCCATTCTTCCATGTGGAGAGCATCCATGTACCTCCCTAGCTCCTTGACCAGATTTCCAATAGTCAGGAGTAGGCAGGGTAATCTAGAAAACTAACCCCACTGAGGCTCGTGTCCAGCTGTGGCTCTGAGCCAAGGTGTTTATATCTCTGGGCTCAAGTCCAGACTCCCCAATGCGGTAGAAATGACTTGGATATGTGTGATGGTGTCTAGGTCATGGCTGTTGTGTGCATACCCCTCTCACAAACACCTCCTGCCTAGCTCGTGACCACTGAAGAGGAGGGTGAGAAGACAAGGCTATATGGAAGTGAGTTTGGTACATTAGAATTTTAGTTTACAGTGGGTAACTATACTTGATGACTGTGAACTTAAAAAAGTATTTTTGGGGGGCTGGGGAATGTGGCTTAATGGTAGAGTGCTTGCCTAGCATGCATGAAGCCCTGGGTTTGATTCCTCAGTCCCACCTAAACAGAAAAGGCCAGAAGTGAGCTGTGGTTCAAGTGGTAGAGTGCTAGCCTTGAACAAAAAAAAGCTCATGGATAGTGTTTAGGCCCTAAGTTCAAGCCCCGGGACTGGAAAAAAATTGTTTTTAAGAAAATTGTACATTTGCAAATGTTAGGTTATTGTTATTTTTATTCTACCAAAGGCAGAAGGAGATGAAGAGAGAATCAGGATACTCTGTCTCTTACAAATGGGGGGAGGGGACTTCAATTAAAGAACACTTATTTATTTATTTATTTATTTGTTCCTAACTGGCAGGAACAATCATTATTTAAAAGAAAATTTTAACTAGCTAACTAATGGGAATAAGCTAAATAGACATAAACTGTTTACTCTTTAAAGTTTAGCATTCATTGGGCTAGGATTTTATCACAGTGGTAAAATGTGTTTGATCTTCAGCATCAAAATAAAATTTAGCATCCATAGATACTAACAAATACTAGTAAAGATGTAGAAAACTAGAACATTTATGCATTGCTAGTAAGAATGTAACATAATGCATTCACTTTGAACAACACTTTGACCATTCTCATACTGTTAAGCCAGGTTTTTTTTAAAGTAGCTTAACCAGTTCCCAGCTATTTTATACTTACCTCCAGTATTGCCAGTTTAAATCTTCATTCTCTGTAACAGCTGGTGCTTGGCTGTGTTGAGAGAGCCCGTAAATGTTCCCTCAGAGCAGGTGGTAAGGGGCTGAGGGTCACCGCTGATGTGTGGTATTAATCAAGGGTAAAGGGATTGCCTGGGCCATCCAGACTTCTCCCCCATAGAGATCTCTTCCACCACCCTGGCTTCCCCAGCCCACAGGCTGCTCAGGTTCTCAGTCAAGTGTGGACTTAAGAGCAGAAGAGCAGGGAAGGTTGTGGTGGGGACCAGGAGAGAGGCTTACTGAGAATCCTGACAGAAGGTATCCTGAAGGCACAGATGAAGGACTCTGGGGACAGGTTATATGAATGGAATGTCTTCTGTGCTGCAGTGACATTCCCCGCCAGAGCAGCAGCTTTTTGTCCTGAGCAAAGGACCAGCTTTCTTGACACCCTTGCCTCTCAAAAAGAGAAGAGGGATGGTTACGTACTGACTGACTCCTGACTCTGCTTCCCTTGCAGCCGACCCTCTGGTGGGCAGCATTGCCACACAGTACATGACCAACAGAGCGGAGCACGACCGGATGGCCAGACAGTGGACCAAGCGGTACGCCACATAGGGGCCTGCTCACTGAGCCCCGCCGGCCCTGTGCAAGCACACTCACCAAGTGCATCAGTATCCCTGCCCACCCCTCCACACCTCCGTTCTTGTTTTCCTATTTTTATTAAATTTTGAACTGTTTTGAGATGGTATGTTGTTTCCTTCCTCTCCTCCCTCTTTTTCCCCTTTTCTCTCTCCCTCCTTCTTTTCGCCCTAGTTTTCTTCCCTTTTTGATTTCTGTTAACTTGAAAGATTTGAGATATTTTTCCCCATCTCAGTGTGGATGGGAACCTTTGTTTTCAGTGCAAACAATGTTGAATCTGTAATAGTAAGAGCTTTCTTACAAAGCTTTGTATTACTGTGTGTCATTTTGGTTTTTGTTGTTTGTTTTATTTTGATTGTTTTCTTTTACGTGATCTTTGGGAAAACACATTCAAAATTATATCTCGTTTCTACTTAAATGTAGTGCTTAGGGTTAATTTTTTGTACTGAAGTCTTTATCGGTGGGTGCATGCTACTGGGAACAAGTTTTTGTACAAAAGCTTCAATCAGAATCACTGTGCATTACTGAGACCCTGTTTATCACTAGCCTTCTGTCCCCATGCAGAAGACTGTTGGATTGAACAAAATAATATGTATTTTGATTTACTTAAAGTGCTTGTAAATTTCTTAGGGACCTGCCACTTTGGACTGTGGATCGGTTGATGTGCACTTGTATTATTAAAGCACTCAATAAATCACTGTGGCTGATAAATGCACCTCTGGCACCCAGGCAGTTGCTTTGTGTCCTGGTGACCTGCATAGCCCTGCAGTGAGGCTTGCCTTAACTAATTCAATTGCAGTGTCCAGGGTCGTTTTCATCTTAGACTGCTAAAGTTTCTTTATAGTCGAGTTGCTTAGCATGTGAAATATCTCCAGCTGTCAATAGCCTGATGATTTTGCGGTTGTTTCAATGGATCGCTATCATTATCGCTGACATCTTTGCTCTTTCAACCTTCTTTACTCAGCAGCTAAAATATGACTCCACAAATAGCCTTTAACTTAAAGTGCAGCCTGAGCTGATTCCTGTACTTAACCACTTGCATGCTTGTTTCTCTCCTTTTTCCTCTTAAAATTTTCATAGTGATTGTCATATGTTTTGTGGGTGTGGAGAATGATACTGGGATTTGAACTCAAGCCTTTTTGCTTGCTAAGCAGGAACTCTACCTCTAACTCCTTTTTAACTGGTTATTTTTGAGACAAAAGTCTTATTTTATGCCCCAAATGGTAAATGTCAATCTTTTATTATGCTTTCCTGTTCTGCTGAGATGAGAGGTGTGTACAACTGCCTCCAGCCATTGTGCTTCTCCCCACTGTAGCTTGGGAAGGTTGGGATGAGAGGCATCTGCCACTATACCCAACCACTGATTGGACAGAGGACAGAGTCTCACTAACTTTTCTGTTTTGATGTTTGTTTGTTTTTTTAATTTTTTGGCCTGGGCTGGGCTTTCTTCAATCCCACAATCTTCACCTTTCCAAGTCTCTATATTTGAAGAGGCTAGGGTAACAGACTCTAGCCACTAAGCTCACTGATTTTGGTGACAGAAACAAATGCATCTGTACCAGTCATGATGTCCTATTCTATAACAGGGTATCTGCCTGGCTTGATCATCAGACAGCTTCCTTGTGCAGGCATTGGAGTGGAGGAAACAGACAGCTTGCTAATGCATGGTCAGACTCTTTGGGTTCTTAGCGTACTGGAAACATCTGACACCATCAGGAAGCCCACCCTACAATTTGAACTCCAATTAAGTAACTACTAAGTAATCCTGTTAATGACTTACATTTGTAAATCATTCATTTTGGAATATTTCACATCTTAAATATCTGCTTTAAGAAATGAAGTTTTGTTGATTTTAATGGGTTAAAAATGAATCCTCTAAGCCAAGCACCAGTGACTCACATTTGTAATCCTAGCTACTAATTAGACTGAGATCTGAAGATAGTGGTGCGAAGCCAGTTTGGGCAAGTCCATGAGACTCTGTGTCCAGCTAATCACCAAAGAGCCAGAAGTGAAGCTGTGGTGCAAGTGGTAGAGCACTAGCCTTATATGAAAGAAGCTCAGGGACAAGCCCAGGCTATGAGTTGAAGCCTCAGGACCAATACAACACCTGCACACACATAAATAAAGGAATCCTAAAGAAAATATATGCTAGATTTAAACCAGAAGTGCCTGGGGGAATTTTTTATAGTGATTTTCCCATTTTATTTGAAAATGGATTCCAGCATATCAGAATTCTGTAGTCTCTGTTGAAGTTAGTCAATTCTATAATTGTGTAACAAAAGGGATCACACAGTACATAAATGAGCGCCATAAGTTTGTTCCAGTAAAACATTACCAAAGCATGGCTGGGAAGGTGACTCACTGGTAGAATGCTTACCTTGCAGGCATGAGGCCCTGGGTTTGATAACTTAGCACCACATAAGCAGAAAAAGCCAGAAGTGGCACTGTGGCTCAAGTGGTAGAGCACTTGCCTTGAGCTGAAGAGCTGAGGGACAGAGCCCAGGCCCAGAGTTCAGGCCCCACAATCGACAAAATTAAAAAAGAAATAAAAACCTTACAAAAGCAGCAGTGGGCAGATTTCACTCCTGGGTGTGTTTTCCAGACCCTGATACAAACCACATGAAATGCATGCAATTAGTATAAGATTAATATTTTAATAGTATAAGATTAATATTTTAATTATCAGAATGTATTATAGATTATAGACTATTTCTTCACAAAAGTTATTTTTGCTTAGTTTTTAAAACATCCCTAAAAGCATTTAACCTCTATAAAATAAAATTTTGTCAGCTTTTTTTATTAACTTTTAACCAATTATAACAGACTCAGGATACTAACATCAACTTTTATGGACAATATTTAAATGTAGTTTGCTTTGTTTTTTTAAGTAGCAAGTCCAAAAAAGAATGTGTTACTGTTCCTAGGAATATGAATGTCATGCTCTCTTTTATTTTTAAGTTTTAGCAAGGATTTATTTTAATATAACAGGGTTAGTGAGAGAAATGGAGGAGAGAGACATATCCTGTTCTCCATGCAGGAACTAGAAGTTAAAGACTCCAAATTATCTCTTCTAGAATCTGTATAAAGACTGGGTTATGATAGGTTTTAATCTTTGCTTTGGTACTGCCTGGTGGCTCTAGAGAACTTAAGCTGGCTGATACCTGGCATTCTATATACCAACAGATATTTAAAGTGTCTAAAACAGTAGAGGGTGGGGATTAAGTCCTTTGGGCACATATTTTAAATAGTTTTTCAAATATATTTCACTCCACATCTGTTAGACTTCATGTTATTTAAATATGTATATTATTTAGGAACCAGAGAGTGAAATTCTAGCATGAAAACCTGAAACAAATGTGTTTGCCTTACTATGAGGCATTTTGTGTTTTACGCCAATCTGTAGTATTATGAAGAGGCTGCAAAACTTCTCTGTCTTTATGAACTATAACTGCTCTATGACAAATGATGTACCCTGCTCCAAAATGCAAAAGCTAGTGAAATTCCAGAGAGAGACAACAAACTTCTAGAGAGCCTATAAAGCCTAGATTCAAGATAAAATGATAATTTTACTTGAAATTCATAATCATAGCAAGCAATATACATTCCACCAGGTTTTCAAAAATGCTTGTAAAATAAGATTTAGAAATAGTTTGACAGAAAGCTTGAGTACTTGTTCTAAAAATTAGGGAGATAACATTTCTAAATTCAGGAGTGATTTTGGACCCTAATATTACTGCTTTCTACACCAAATATTCCTAGTTATTCCTAGTTATTAGTATTTTGTAGTTTTGAGTTAAGTAAAATGTTGGCAGATCCTTGACTGACACAAGACTACAGGTCATGGTAAAACTCGTTTGAGGGCTGGGAATGGAGCTTAGTAGTAGAGTGTTTGCCTAGCATGCATGAAGCCCTGGGTTCAATTCCTCAGTACCACATACACTGAAAAGGCCAGAAGTGGCTCTGTGGCTCAAGTGGTAGAGTGCTAGCCTTGAACAAAAGAAGCTCAGAACAGTGGCCAGGCCCTGAGTTCAAGCCTCCCCTCCAAAAATAAAGAAAAAGTAATTTGAGATATTTATTGATCTTAAATCTTTCATAAAGTCATGACCTTAATTTGTCAACAAACTGCAATGAACGTAACTTTTTGTTTTTCCCAGGAATCCACCAAGAAACGCAGTGGTAGAATTAATCATTGCTTCTTATTCAAAAAGTAGGCCCTGCCAAGGTTTGTGTCAGGCTTTGAACGTGAAGCGTTTCTCCAGAGCTTCTGCGCTGCATCCTCCGGCAGGTTCCCACCCAGCGTCTCCTCCATGACTATGGCTCTCAGCATTTAGCCCTTTTCACTCATGCCCTGGTTCTTTGTTCATTTGTAGACACAGAGTCTCACTACATAGCTCAGGCTGGCCTCTCAGTTTTCCTGCCTAGCCTCCCAAGTGCTGATATTACAGGCATCACCACACCTGGCTCATTCCCAGATTCTAAAGGTCAATGAGGGGCTTAAACCTACTGTTAAACAAGACTTACCATGGGTATGCCTCTCTGTGAATAGATGATTTTCTGTGAATGGATGATCTTTTGAGAAGCTTTTTTAAAAGAAACCTTCCTGAGTTTTCAAACCCTCTTACTCATGAGAACCACACAGAAAATGGGAGTGGTACTGTAAACATTGGTCTCTCTTACCTCCTGATAAACCCACATAGTCAAGATGGGGGCCAACCAAACTCCTCTAGAACACCCAGACTCATGGCACTGATTACAGAAAAAAATCTTGCTCACTAACCTAGGCAACCTTTGGAGCCATGAAACACATCTAATTCCACTTTCAGATTATCCCCTCCTCTGCTCAACAGTTTTCTCTCATCTTTTTTTTTTTTTAAATTAGATGAGAGGTTAGAGTTTACCATGTTAAGCACATCCTGTATTAGAAGCCCATATAGACCTCCTGAGAAATTGGGTCAAGCCCAGCAACAGAAAAGCAGCTGATGCTTTATCCTTGGTGCCTCTAAACAGGTGAGAAACAGCAAAGAATTGTTCATCCCCACCGTGAGGAACATCAGGGTATCAAGAGGTCACAGTCCAAGGACAATCACCTCTGGACTAAAATTGCCAACAAGTAAGATGATAACATTTTTCATTGTCTGCTCATTCTCTAGCTTGAAACTCCTGTCAGACAAAGAAGTAAATGGAGATGGTCACCAGTATGAACTTTGACAGCTGTCATCTCCAACTTGCAGGCTTTCTTCACCACCAAACAGCCCTCACGTGCTGATCTGAAAACTCAGGGCAGCTTATGAACAGTTACTAGAAGCATGAAAAACTCCAGAAGCTGGCATGAAGCCCTCAGAGACCCCCATTTGCTTTAGCAATATAGGAGGAAATTTAATTCAAGCATGACTACACATTTTTTCCTTAGATGTAAAACATATGTCCACATTAAAGAATTCCCCACATTCCCATATGTTCTTAGTGGTGGGTAATAAAATACCAGGATGTACTCATCAGTCCAGATTTGGGCTGCTGGAGTTTGAGGAATTGGTAATGTGTATTTACTACATAAATTTTTTTATAGTTGAATGTGAGAACAAATTAACTTTATATAAAAATTAGTGTGATACATGTTAAAAATAAATTTATATGAAGAGGTTGCCTTGCTCAGTACTACAAAATATCCCCCCTCCTAAAAAAAGTACTTGAAGGCAATTTTTAACTAACTTGTTT